AAGAGTCATCTTCGTTTGATAAGAAACAAGGCGACGTCACACATTGAACTTATAGTATTGGAAGACTTTGTCAGATTTGAAACAATGCCTTGGCGTTGATTCACCATAAATGGATGGACAAAATGCTGTTTATTTTATCCCAGTTACTCTGCTTCTCTTAATTCAACAGTGACTGAATTCAAAACTCACTGTACATAATACAAAGTTTTCCAAGCCGCCCTTCTCAAACCACGGACGAGAGAATGATGCTTGTGCCGCAGCTTTGGATAAGTTTCAACCACTGCAGGCACTATGTATGCGACTTCTGTAACTAGAGGGTGCGACATTTACGTCTATGAGAAAACACAGCTACGCCGTCTGAATGTAAAGCTTCGAGATCTTCTCAGCCAGATCCATCTGATCATTATAGAAATTTGTTGTATATTGATTAATATTCCTTAATCCCAGGTTTTATTAATTTAGTTTATCAAACTAATTGTAGTTTGTTTTATATGGTGTGAAATTGCTTAAATCAAAATATGCTCTAATATTTTTAAGGGCAACTATTTAATGGAAAAGATGTATATATATTTGGAGACATAATTTCTTTCTGTCATACGTGTAACTTGTAATGTAAAGTTGAATATACGCCGGTAGATACTTAAACGATTTTGCTCAGCCATCTACAGATCACCTATGGAAGAGAGTATAGATATAGCACAAATCGTCTACAGCATGCGACAGAGTCATTAAACGAGGAGTTGTCGACGCAATTACACTCTTGGTTGTAGCACACAGTGGGAGTCAATTACTCGTACATGAGTATCAGTGCTCTTCAACAAATGTCAACTGAGTGAAGGCGTCAATTATGAGCAATTATTAATAATTAGCCAGAGAAATATCTGTGAATATCTAGCGAAAAGCGATCTGTGCCTCTTGTAGATAGTAATTTGTAACCGACTTATACTACGGTTTGATCATCGAATGGCAGGATAATTGTACACCTGCATTTTGCTTTTATTGCAATATATTAGAATGCAACGCAATGAAACCCAGCGCACGCCTTTGGTAGTATTTTAGCCAAGTACACCCTAGCGTTCGTAGCTGCGGCATCGTAACAAATACATTGGGACTCTTTGTTGGGTCTTATATCGCTGAGGAAATTTGTGTACCTAATGGCGTTTATTTGTTGTTTTGTCATTTTTTTTATACATGGCCTTCTCTTAGCTAACGCTTAATATGTCCATTACTTATCGTGTACCGAATGACCACCATGTTATAGAATTTTTTTACAGCTTAAGTCGACCTTGTTAATAATCTATTTTGGCACTGTTGACTTGTATTGCACTATATCTGATATGACATCCTGAGCTGAAAAATAAATTAACTGCACTGAATTGAACTGTACGTTTTAATCTGAAGCACAGCGTTGGAGTAGTTTGCCAGAAACATAGTTTACGACGAGGGCATAACGGATGATATGAGGTCATCGCGTTAATGAAAAAAGAAAAATTGTTGCCTGTTTATAAAATAGCAGCCTAAACGTTTAAATTCTTCTCTTTTGTGATGGGTATACGAGAAGGGGGGGGGGCGGTTACAGGATGGTCCAAAGAGATGTTTCCATTTTTGATACAGTGGCATTGTTTACTGAAAGGAAAATTAAATGATGTTTTCTTACAGACATGTCTCGCAAACAGGCCTGTTTTGTGTGGAGTAAGTTTTTCCCCACAAATACCATCATTTTGCGAGCTTGCATCGAGCACAAATGAGTCATTAAAAACTAGCTGCGCTAAAAACTTGATATCGATGTTTTATTAATTTTTCATCAAAAACTTAATTGCGTGCAATCACGATATTATTATCAAACTCGCGTTTTTTTCTTTGCGTTACTTCTGTTATTAGTTCTAGATTCTAGTGTTACAGTGTAGTTTTAGTTCTAGATCCTATAATTAAGATAGTGTCATCAGTACACAGACATGTCTTAACATCTAATCTGCCTATCTGTATCCCCGTTATCTTCTTCTTTGCTCCAAGTATAATCAATATATCGACACCCTCGATGAAAGAATGACGAGCAGATGCCATAATGAGTCAGGGAAATTTCAACTCGTTGTTCAAACACTGAATATTTTTTCCAGTCTAAAGAATTCCAAAACTTGATCTATAAACCATTGATGACGAGTGATATGCTTTTGATGATGAATGACAATCCCTTTTTATCATCTACAAAAATTTCATGACATTTTACAGTTGTCTTATATTTCATCTGTTTATCATACACTGATAATTCCCTGCTGATTATCATGAATTATATCGGGATTATTGTTTTCAATCTACTTTTCAATCTACTTGCAAAACACTTTGAAATTATTTTGTTAGAGGTATTCGCTATTAAAATAGGAAGCTAGTTTTTTATTATTTCCTCATATATAACCCCCAATCTACCGTAAAGAACAAAGACAGGTGACTTTTTTGTCATTTATTATCATTTCCTGACTGGATGAAATGTTTTTCTGTTCCATAATGTGGCATATTTTTCAAAATTAGCATTTCCCTGAAAGAGCTCACCTCCGAGTATCCCGATTTTTTTCCACATACAGCAAGGGCGATTGTAAGGTACATCAACAGGACGCTCACCTAAAATATAAACGGATATGCTTAAACAAAATACGCTCTCACACGGCAGTTGCGGATTTAGGGGGAGGGATGTCAGGTGGGTCCTTAACCCCCCTTCAATTTCTGAAAAGAAAAATCATACCAATGGTTCCCTCTTGAAATTAGAATTTTGACTAGCTGAATCATAGTTCTAATTAGACCGTACCAGATGGCACCGTTCGTTTAAATACTAATGCTTTTCGGGCTCCCTTCAGCATCCGCGACCCCCCCCCCCCCCCACCTTTTAAATAATCCTGGTTCCGCCCCGGCACGATGTTGACAAACTGTCTAAATTCGTACTGGAATTGCGGTTATTGTCCGGACAGAGGCAACTATCTCCCGGATAATTACGAAAAACTTACTTCTGGTATTGTAATTTAAAGACCTACTGTGAGTTTGCAACAAATGTTAATCGGTCAAAAGTTAGCCACGTTGCCAACAGATACATGGTCAGATAGTGACATTTATAAATCAAGTAAGGGGGGGGCAGAAAATGTTACGTGTTAAAATGAATTAACTGGCTTTAAGAAAACTTCCCATCCTAACTGTACTTACATCCCCCAGACAAAGACCCGTAAGCACACCTGATAATGTGCTGAAAGGATAGTTGTCCAAGACACTTCCTCCGAAGATAGGACCAGTGAAGTCCCTGAAAACAACCATGGCAAAGTTCAAAATGCTGTTTTTATCTGCAATATGAATTTGAATGACATGGTCATTTTTAAATCAAAATGTGCGTGTGATATCAAGAAACAGGAGGTTTAGCGTGCTTTTGTGGACAAGGACGCCTTGTCTGCACAGGGGCATGTTAACTGCTAGGTTGAAAGTGAATTTGTTTGTTTGTTTGTTTGTCTGAGGGATAGGGGACTAGGATATTGCCATTCTGAAACGCCACATTCTTTATTCAACACACCGGCACCCAAAAAAGCGTGGGAAATGAAAGATTCCGAGACTAACAACAAATGAAAAGTAACCAGGCCTTCGTATCGCTTTCCCCTCACCTTCGGAGGATACGGATGCATCTCCATATAACCAAATTACAAAGATGCCATTAATATCTATTATTCTCTTTCTTAACTGGAGTTTTGCTAAATGTACCTTAGGAAACGCATTTGCAAATAATAATAATAATGATAATAACAAAATAAAATAAAATGATAATAATAATAATAATAAATTCATGTTTCTAGAATGAAATTAAGAAGATACTTGCCCTATTCCCCCAGACGCTTCAAAAGTGGCTGACAGACTCCCGTACGTGGTCATATCATCTGGTAAGCCCGAGGCACTGCAATAAAAAACGACCAATCTCACTCATTACAATAACATTTATGTCTTCTTTGATCTAAACCGACTAAAATAATATGATATAACAATTAAAAGAATAGGACAGACTCAAGTATGACGTTCGAAATTTGGCCGATGACGGCCGCACTTATCGAAGGGCCATCTGGTAACAGAAGTCAAGTAATTTAGTTATAAACATTGTACGATGTTAGGTAATTATTTTTTATGCCTGAAAAATCTACAGTTAATATATTATTTCCAAACAAATAGTGCACATATTTCAGTTTGTGGAGGTACAAAGAGCCAAGCCATTATAGATCTCCACCAGAACTGTGGAACACGATACGTCGCAACTAACGCAATAACATGCAGTTTAAGTCGTGTTTTTATTGCACAATTGGCCATTCTTTAGTCAGTTTTTAAAAGCAGAAACTCACGTTGCATCTAATAAACGGTCTGCCATTACTGCTACGTTGGTACACGCCGAGCCTATCCCAAGAGTGCAACTTCCTAGGTATATACTCCACGACGCCCTAAAATATAGACCAAGGCGTCCAAGCAAATTATAGTTATAATCTTAAGTTGTAATATATATAATAGTTTCACTCTAAATTGGAAAAAAAAAAAGCACAAAAACATTTTGCCAACTAGGCATGCTACTAAATCAATGTTCAATTTTTTAATATTCGAAACTACTATGGTAAAATGTTACTGCAATACCACCGACAACGTTTTATTTTGTTTCACTTGTGGAAAACATTACCACAGATGAATGATTATCAACATGTGTCTTATAATTTACCTATCAAAGGTCACGATCTCAAATCTATACATAGAATGGATGTACAGTGGGCCATACACTCTTTTTAGCTTCGGAAGAGTTGCCTTTACCATCATCCCGGCCTATTTCCCCGCCCTAACCCCAACAGAAAAAAAAGCAAATCTACCGTAGACAGATCCAGGCATTTTTTATCTTGTCCTCCATTATACTACCAAAATGACTTTCTCCCCCTAGGCCCGTACTTACCCCTCACCATTAGGGTACAGACTCGTAACTGGAATCCAGGGCCCCACAAGAGTATAACCTAATGTACACACAAAGAGTCCAACAATAACCTGCACTTTATTGCGGTTCTGGAATTGAAAAAAATTACGTGACATAAAACTGGTATAGATAGGTAGATCACAATCCGCTAGGGGCGCTACAGTCGTAACTGTCCACGGGCAGTGAAGTGTTAAACTGAAGTCGGCCTGCTGACAGTTCGCCTATGGAACCCCTTTTTTAAATCTCTCTTTTAGCGCTGCGTAAAAAAACTAATACAAGCCATTAACTAAATAAGTTGTAAATCAAAGAGTAAAATCCGGTCACATGATTTTCCCATGTTGCAGTCTTTGACAAGTTTCGGTTCTGCTTGTTTTAAGTTTTGCCTCTACAAAATGCTAAAAAATTTCAGGTAAGTGCTGGTATCATCTTTTTGAAATTTATATCCAGCAAAGTTTATGAAATTTGCTATATTATGTAGAAAAATCATGAAATTTGAAGGTTGCGAAGTATAGTTAATTTAATCCGCAATATTACATGATGTGAAAATTACCACAGGGAAATAGCTCTGCCCTGATTAGTCACAGGCTATGTGAGCCAGACAATAGGCTGAGCACACAAAGACACACAGGGTGCTCTGCTGCGCCTGAGTGATCACTGCTGGTCAGTGGGCACAGGTTTTGAGCTGAGAAGTGAGGACACTTTTGGTGGATTTTTGCAGTTAAAAAACTTCAATATCTTTGTTGCTTGTAGGAATATTTAAAAAATTCCAAATGATTTCATCCGGTTTTTGCATTACCTTTCAGATGATATAAGTATTTTAATTTTCTGATCAGTTTGAAAATTTTTCTGATATACCTAGTATAGAAAACCCTTACGCTAATCAACTCTAGCTCCGGATATTTCTACTAATAATCTGCTTACCTTAGCAGTAACGAAATCCCTTTCCTAAAGATAACCGACAGAAATCAGCTAGGATTTCAACCTCTCTCTCTATCTTGCTTCACAGTTATGGCGTCGCCCTTTGTTCTTCACACCTCTAGCTGTAACCTACACCTTACAGCTATCGAGTTACTCGCAAACTGACACTCAGCCTCGACTCGGAATCGAGACCAAGACAAGCCACCGATGCCGGATCACTACACTATATAGTACATCACACGCGTTACATATCATTGAGAACACATTATTTACATTTTGATGAGTTAAAAGGGGGACAATTATACACACGGCATGGTCTGTAGATGTGCTGATTTGTTTTAAGACACGCCCGCTACGTTCTGTTATGTTCTCCCATACGTATAGAACAATGTACCCTGTACTTTGAGAATAGCAGGTTCATAGAGTAACCACTGGCGGCCTTAGAAGTTATTATCCCTAAAGTAAATCAGCTTCTATAAAATCAAACTCAATACTTACCAATTTATTGGATACTAGTCCAAATAGGGGCACGGTGAATGTGTATGTTAAGCCTATCAGAGAAAACGCAAGACCGATCATCACGTGGTTGCCCTCTAAGCTGCTGTCCACCTGGAAATAAACAGGAAATTACATCCATATCATCTATATTGATATGATACAGTTTACTTCAGTTTTGTTCCAACTGCTTGTAACAGACACCTGATGAATGGGCTCGTGCCCTAATTATAAAATTGTCACAAGACCTAACTATACGTAAAGGCCAAATGACGTCAGCCACCAATGACGTCATCATTTGCTCAGAGATCAATAGAAACTGTTACAAAATATTTCAATTATACATCCACTTATTCCTATTAAAACGTGTCTCAATTATTTGCTTCCATAAACTGCCTGCTTTTTATAAATGTACAGGAGCGTTATCCAATGAGTTTCAACATCTTTGACAAATCCATTTGCTCAAACACGGTTAAGCATTTCGCTTGTGCATTTCAATTAAAAAATACATTCCGATAAAAACAAGCTGACAAGTATTATAATTTAGGTGTTAGATCTACCAGCTTACGTTTTCCAAGTGGCGCCCAAGTGTAGGGGATAAGGACCCGATTCCGAAATACATTATGAACACCGCCATGTATTCTAATACAGCGACAGGCTTCTTCAATATCTGCAGCACCTGACCGTGTTGCGAAGATTTTTCTAAAATAAATGCAAGAAAAAAATATATGAAATTCCGGAGTACACATTAAAGAATCAGCAAAGCAATACGTTTAATTTCAGCGGTCAATACTACGCGTCCACTGACTTGAAATGAAATCATTTATTCTCTGAATGAAGGAACACTATGAAAACATGCAGATGTTGTAATATATCATTATAAGATATTGTGTTAACATTCTCTCTACCTTCTATACTACATTAAACAGAAGTTATAAAAAAACTACCTGAGGTACAACCCCTTTCTTCAAAATGGTATTCTTGATAATTGTTTTTATGTGGGGTCTAAAAAAATTAATCCTGAGAAGATTGTACATAAAATTGCAGGCTAAAACATTTAGTACGTCGTAGATGAAGACATAAAAGGGTACGCTTTGGTTATGGAATGAATTAAACGGGCTTTACCGTCCTTGTCGTCGTTGGGCAATGTGAAAAATGCCCAGACACCTAAAATAACAGCAGCAGGACCAAATACAAAAAAGGGCCACCCGAAGCCGCCCAGCTGATAGAGGCCGCCACCTGCCAAAGGGCCGAAGACAATCCCAAGCCCAAATGACATTTCTAAGAAACCCTAAAAATGAAAAAAACGAAACATTTTGATATGAGACCTTAATCAAATAACCGAAAAGCTTTGGACTTAAAAATACTTTTCAACACAATATGACGCCTTCGTTTTTATTTTTGTACTTACGTACGCCGTGGCCGTCTCTTTCCTAAACTCTCTGGTTATTATAGCGTAGTTTGCTGTTATTGTCATAGCTGCTCCAACTGATTCCATCACACGAACCGTTATTCCGAGCCCAAGAAACCATTGGCCAGACTTTATTTCTCCTAGAAATCTTTAAAAAGGGAGATATTTAGGAGTTAGCTCTATAATTCCACATGTTGTCGGAGGAATTAAACAATATTTAGTCGAAAACTAACCCCATGACATGAATTGTTAAAAAAAATAAAAAAACTAAATCCATGCCAGAGAATGTCTTTATAATAATTGCACTAGTTGGCGACTACATCACGGTTGATTTGCATTTTGCTGAAAATCATGTTTCAAATGAAAAAGAAACCACGAGACATGTAAAAAGAAAGTATATGAAAATGGCACGTTTTCCACAATTTCCAAATTCCACAAACATGCAGTCTCTTTAGTCTTTGGAACTAAAATGACTTCAATGGCCATTAAAACTGTACTTACCCAAACAGAAAAGCCATTAAACTGTACTTACCCAAACAGAAAAGAGCTGGTTCCAAGCACTACCAGGCCGACCCAGTAACACCACCTGGCTCCTATCAGAGATAACTGAAATTAAAATAGGTTTAAATCTTCTGTGTTTGTATTTTCCTTGAACAAACCACAGGCCGAATTTTGCATGTTGTTGCTGTCCATGTTCAGAAGTCAAGTTCACTCTATAAACTCGTTTGACTTCCTAGCCAATGGATCCACCAGAGACTTTATGGGTAGACTTACTTCCCTTAGTTTTTGAGGGAAGTAAACGATTTTACGTTGCTTTTCTCCTTTTCTGTTTAAAACAAAGTCTTAATCTCCTGTTTATGCAGACACCTTTTATTGTGTTTTATATACAACAACGTTTTTGTAGAGTACTTTATTCCCGATGTTGTCAATTTTAAACATTTTATTGACTTAATAAATATATATCTTTATCTTTTTGATCTTTAAACTATATAAATGTACGACATGTTGTTATGAAAAAAATGTTTTACACACCTGGACGCAAAAAAATTGCCATATTAGAAAAACAATTAACCGTCCTCAGGTGTGAGCTGTAACCGGGTGTGTGTATATTTTACATTTTTAAAACATTTCTCATCCACAAGTCCTTGGGTAACATTTTGGGGAGAAGCATCTTTTTCTCAATAAACCAGGCATTGAATGAACACGCTTGTGTTGCGCATTGGTTGAGCGTGAAGTAGCTACATATTAAAACTGTTGGTAGGATACGTTGACTTAGACCCCATTTCCAGAGATTAGATCGATCTACTTTAGATCGACCTAACTCCCTGGGGGTTCACGCAAAATAGCTGTCAGCCGGGCGGACATGAAAGTTAATTATCCTCCTACAGCTTGTAGTAGGCGGGACGGACATTTAAGCCGGATTATCTGACAGTAATCTAGTGAGACTCCCCGCGGGGATAGATCGATCTAAAAGCTCTGGGAATACAGCCTTACATACCCGAGTCCCTATGAAAAGAGTACAGCTGATTTTGGCGACTTCATAGCACCCGAATATGGCCCCCGCAGAAGTTAAAGAAAGACCCTTTGCTACAGCCTGGAAAAGAAGGCGTTTTCGAGGTGCAATATTGCAGCATGCATGCATTAACCGGTTTTATAGTTTCAAATACATCAGGCCCGTAGCCAGGGGGGGTTCGGGGGGTTCGAAAGAACCCCCCTTTTTGCTGGAAAAAGGGCCACTCTGGGTAAAATTTGACCTAGGTACATGGGGATTATATGGTAAAAGGTCCACTTTTTCAGAAAAAGAACCCCCCCTTTGAAATTGCTGGCTACGGACCTGTACATATATACAAATGTATTATAACACGCGGAAGAAATATTTGCTCTGCCATATGTAGTCCCCATTTAGCTATCTTCCAAATGTTATAGGTATTATTTATCATATATAGCCGAGCAATATGGCGAGAACAGCATGTATTTAATCTATATGCAAAACATTTTTATAGCTATAGAAAATGTCTGGGTGTTTTATATGTGAAATAAATAAATAAGGTGACACGTGAGAGTCCGAATATCGCCGCCTAATCCAATATGACTCAATAAATATTTTCATATTATATAGGTTGAATAACATTTAATGTACAGTGTATAATTTCCATAAAATATAGATTAGATAACAGGTGTTTTATACGAGTATCCATGTCACCCTAGAGAAAATTCTATAACCAAGGGAGAAAAAAGTATGTTGATTGCTTATTTCCTAATTTGTTAATTCTCAAATAGCATCCTATTGTTCAGTATAGTACAAAAAACAGTGCAAATAGTTCTTATTATACGAACCACCACGTAAAAGTACCCAGATGAACGTTAACATCATTTTCTCTTCCAAGCGCCCGCAGAATTCGATCTTTTTAAGGATGTATTAAAAATCTCCATATAAGTTACCATCATTGGAATGTTCTTTCTCTCATCTATGCATAAATATTAAACTTGAATCTTTGAGTACAAAATTTAAATGCCTGCCCTTTATGACAATATTTGATATACAATATTTTTCGGAAAAGTAAAATACCATTTCTACAACCGTATTATGCTTCATGCTTGTAGATCATGAAAGTGCATGTTCTAGGATTTTTGTGTGGTCAAGCTCTGACCTGACTGTTAGTTATATCTAACCGTGATACTGTTATGGAAATACTGTGAGGACCAAATACAAGAATGGAGCGGAAATTGTAACGAAATATTGAAATAGTTGAAGATAGGTACTGAGCAGACGGCGTGAGAGAGCGAGAGAATGACACCGAAAAGCGTTCAACCTTACCTCGTCTCTCAGGAATGGCTGGAGCACGGAATAACAGCCGAATAAAATGATGTTGGTGAGACAACCGTTCATCAACGTGACTTTCTGCAGGGTACTCCAACGTTTACTATCTTCCCCATTTTCTTTACAATCAGATTCCATATTTGTGAAATAATTTAGTGAAACCGAGTAAATGCAGTAAAAACGTGTAGCGTTTAGTTTTTGTAGTTCTAGTGGGTCCACGGCGTTGAAGTACTTTTTCGTCTCCACGCAGTGAATGTGAACAAAACTGAAAAGATGCACGTGATTTGCACACAAAACAGTATTCTACGCCAGCTGATTATGCTAGAAGGTTATTACTATAAATAAGGTTAGCAGTACCAGTATTTGCCGTCTGTATAGGGCTTCCCTTGATGACTTGGAGAATCAATGGAGACAATAACAAATAAATAATGAAATTAACTCAATAAAATTACAAAAACCGATTTCAAACCATTGACTGAAGATAGTTTGCGCTGAGGGTCACTGGCTGATGACGGCTGAGATCGAAGCATGCAGTTCCTTACGGTGATCACTTGTCTCCTCACAGCAACCGTGTAAAAATAACGGCGATTGTGCATGCAGATGTCTTAGGACAGTAAATTCAGAAACTTGGTTCATTTTTGGTTAAATGTTGCAGCCAAGTTCCTTTATATCATGAAATGTTTTCTGTCATGCATGCACACGTAACCTGTAATGTAAAGTTGAATATACGCCAGCTGACACGTCAACGTGTTTGTACAGCCATGTACAGAACACCTCTGGAAGAGAGTATAGATATAGCACAAATCGTCCACTGCATGCAACATGAGAGCCATTAATTAAGGCGTAGTCGACATAATTGCATTTAGCACACAGTGGGAGTCAATTATACGTACATAAGTATCGGTACTCTTCAACAAATGTCATCAGCTGAGTGATGGCGTCAATTATGAGCAAAAATTAATAATTAGCCAGATAAATATCTGTGGATATCTAGTAAAAAAGCGATGTGTGCTTCTTGTAGATAGTAGTTTGTAACCGACTTATCCTAAGGCTGGCATATCCAACGATAGGTTTATTGTACCCATTTATTTCGCTTTTATTGCAATATTGCAATATATTAGAATGCAACGCAATGCAACACAGCGCACGCCTTTGATAGTACTTTGGCCAAGTACACCCTATCGTTCGAAGCTGCGGCATCATAACAAATACATTGGCACTCTCTTGTTGGCTTTTAGATCGCTGAGGATATTTGGGTACTTAATGGCGTTTATTTGTTCAGTTATTGTCATTTTGGTTCTGTTTTTTTTTTTTCACCAAATGTATAAAGGGAGTTCTTTTATAAAACCATGATGACGAATGCTATCCTTTTGATGATGAATGATA